CACTCCAGCCTGGGTAACAAGAGCAAAACTCCGTCTCAAAAAAAAAAAAAAAAAGAAAAGAAAAAAAAGAAAATGTAGTCTGGGCTGGGTGCAGTGACTCACCTGTAATCCCAGCACTTTGGGAGGTCAAGGCAGGTGGATCACCTGAGGTCAAGAGTTTGACACCAGTCTAATATGGTGAAACCCTGTCTTTACTAAAAATACAAAAATTAGTCAGGCGTGGTGGCAGGCGCCTGTAATCCCAGCTACCTGGGATGCTGAGGCAGGAGAATCGCTTGAACCTGGGAGGTGAAGTTTGCAGTGAGCCAAGACCCTGCCATTGCACTCCAGCCTGAGCAACGAGCAAAACTCTGTCTCGAAAAGAAAATGTAGTCTGAAGGCACACCCCACTATGAGGCCCATCCAGCCGTCAATTGGGGATGACCCCATTTTTTTTTTTTTTTAAAGCTTAAAACAGCTTTCAATCAATGCAACTCTCCATTATAATAAAAGACCTCCACCTTTCCAAGCTTGAGTTTTCCTAGAGGGCAAACCTCAACATAATTTCAGGCCCTGTTATAAGGCCTCTGCCATTTGCTAGCTCAAACTAGAAGAGTAACTTTTTTATCCCCCTGGAAAAAAAAACCCAGTTTCAGCTCATTGCAACCTCCACCTCCTGGATCAAGCGATTCTCCCACCTCAGCCTGCCTCCTCCCCCTGCCCAGTAGTGGGACCACAGGTGTGCACCACACCCAGCTAATTTTGTGTATGTTTTGTAGAAATCGGGATTCGCTATGTTGCCCAGGCTGGTCTCTAACTCCTGAGCCCTTGTGATCCTCCCACCTCCGACGCCCACAGAGCTGGGCTACAGGTGTGAGCCAGGCGGAAGAGTAACTCAACTTTGGTTTCCTCCTGCATTAAATGGGCATACCGCCTGGCTTGTTAGGATTACTGTACTGTACATACTTAAAGCACTTAGAACAATGATCAGCCCAGAAGAAAAGATTATGTGCCTGAAAGTGAGGGGCTAGAGTTGCCCTGTTAATTGGGAAAGGAGGACCCTTTTCAGCTTCACCAGGTATCCTGGACCCCAACCCACTCACTCACCCACCCAGTCCCAGCAAGTGGTAAGCGGGAGGGCGGTCCCGGCCACCTTATCTGTCTGGGCTGTTTGGGAGTGAGACCACACAAGGCAGGCAGTTCTCAGAGAATTCTCCAAGGCTTGCTGGTTCTTTCTTGAGGCTTTGTTCTACAGATTTCTTTCTTTAAGTGCTTGTTTCTCATAGTCTTTCTCCTTTTTGTCCAGTCTTTCTTTCTTTCTTTTTTTTTTTGAGACGGAGTTTCACTCTTGTTACCCAGCCTGGAGTGCAATGGCGCGATCTCAGCTCACCCCAACCTCCGCCTCCTGGGTTCAGGCAATTCTCCTGCCTCCGCCTCCTGAGAGTAGCTGGGATTACAGGTACGCACCACCATGCCCAGCTAATTT